CTTGTGTCTCCTACCCTTCCACCAGTGCCACCTTGGCCTGTCTCACAATAGGCTGAGGTGACCCATCCACTCTGAAAAAGGAATGGGACCATGCACAGCTTGTAGGAGTGGTGAGGTGGAGTAAAGGAACCCCCCCCACACATCTGTATCTAGAAGGATGAAGCAAAAAAGTTTCCAGAACTGAAGTAATGGTTACATTAAAGAGTATAACCTCATTTCTAAAAAGTTCAGTTTTACTGTTCTATGAGAGTACAGGACTTTTCCTTTTTTCCTTTTTTCCTTTTACTTTTTTACTTTTACTTTTAGTTTTTCTTTCATGAATGGATACGGTGAAAAGGAACTTGCATCATTAATTTATACAACTTTTTAAAAAATGTATAGAGCTTCTTAAAGTACCTAGAGATGAGACCTTTTTACAAAACATATGTGTTATGTGTTTGTGTTTCTCTAACCCTTTGAATAATGCAACAGATAAAAAGGGTACAACTGGATGCTGAAGAACAAGGCAAACAATATATAACTGTGTACTGTCTAAAACAGGTCTCCAACCCCAGGCCATAGACCAATACCAGTCTGCAGCCTGTTAGGGACTGGCCACACAACAGGAGGTGAGTGGCAGGCTACCAAGCAAAGCTTCATCTGTATTTACAGCCACTCTCCATCTGTATCATGGCCCGAATTCTGCCTTCCATCAGACTAGCTGAAACATTAGATTCTCACAGGAGCCCCCAAATGGGACCCTCTAGTTGCAGGAAAACAAGTTCATTGCTGCCACAGATTCTGCATTATGGGCAGTTCTATAATTATTTCATGATATGTTACAATGTAATAATAATAGAATTAAAATGCACCATAAATGGGGTGCACTTGAATCATCCTGAAACCATCCAGATGGTGGAAAAATTGTCTTCCACAAAATGAGTCCCTGTGACCAAAAAGGTTGGGGACCATTGATCTAAAGTATGACTAAAGCAATTTTAACTGTTATCTGAAAATTCCAAATATATTAATCCAAATAACTAAAGTTTTTCTTTTGTAAAGCCAATGAGTAGGCCCTAAAGGATTTCTAAACACATTGCAGAACAGTGAATGAAAACTCTGGCTTAGCCATTTTTATTATCTTTAGATCCTAATAGAAATTGAAACCCTGGAAAAATGGGAGATTATTTATTCTATTTTATTGCTTTTGTTTTGTTTATTTACCTTTTTAGTTTAGAACTGAAGTTACCAAAAGGCAATGCATATAGATTGGCTGAAAGCAAATGAGTAACCTCAAAAAAATTGGAAGATATGCAAAATGTAAAAGTATGAATATCTTCCAGGGATAATTTTCCCCTAAGTTCAAGAGAGCAAAAGATTCACCATAAAAGAAGCAAAGGGCCACCCTGAAACTTAATTACATTTCAAAGTAGTGAAGTAACATGAAAAGAATAAAACATTTTTTGTTCAATAGTTTGTGTACCAGATGGCATCTCTAAATATAGTAATCTGAAACCTTCTGTTTGTCCTATAAATATAGATGAAAGGAATAACAACAATAGCTAATCATTTAAATCACAGGAAATAAAGAGCTCTTTGATTATGTTTGGAAAAAATCTTGCTCTTTCTACTAATGATCCTGAAACTGGGAAGGCTCAAGTTCTAGGTGAAAGTCAGAATCCCAAACTTCAGGTGTCTACTCCTGCTTATCAAGCTGTTTAGGCTGGTGCTTATCTAGTTGGAGGAGCAAACCAGGAATACTAACACTAGGAGACAGGAGAAAAGCTGAAGAAACTTAGGAATTCTTAATAAACACTCTAAAAGCAACAGTCCAAATTCCAGGGTTTTCTTAGTTTTTGTTTGTTTGTTTGTTTTCAGAAGGATTTTCACTATAGGGTGCATATGCTTACTGGAGAGACAGAGAAACATGAAGAGGAAGAAAGAGAGAAATCACACACATACACTCCCCTCCCTGCCAGGGAAATGCCTACACTGCAATCTCTTCTCCATTCTTCTCTTGAGATTTGGGGCATGCACCCACATGCACCTAGCATCGGTGCATATGCTTACTGGAGAGACAGAGAAACATGAAGAGGAAGAAAGAGAGAAATCACACACATACACTCCCCTCCCTGCCAGGGAAATGCCTACACTGCAATCTCTTCTCCATTCTTCTCTTGAGATTTGGGGCATGCACCCACATGCACCTAGCATCAGTTTCAAGCCACTGGGTCCAAGACTTGAACCACAATCACCACGTGGGAATACAACACCTTAACCACTATGTCACTGGCTGGCCCCATTTGTTTATTTTTTTAAAAACATAAAATAGTTGGAAGGTGGCCTTGCTTTACTTTGAGGACTACTGCATAAATGTGGGTAACAGTTAAACACCTGAAATCTGGAGTCAAGCCTAACATATGAGTCCAGGCTCTAGAAATGACAGTATGACTGCTCATGACTGACACTATGGCCTGGAGCCATTTTCCTTACTTCTCTAGGCTTCATAGCTAGACATACTTATTGGGTTATCAGAAAAGTCATGACATATTTTTGCATAGAAAAAACAGAAAAATACATCGTGACTCTTCAACAACCCAATAGCTATAGTACAAATAGTACAAAGGTGTATGGAATTTACTGATGACACTGCTTGGCATGCAGTAAGATCCATCAATGTCATTTGCTTATCATCATTACACTCCTTATTATTAACAACAATACGATAATGATAATAATCAACTAGTAATAATCATGTTTTGATTTTTTTTTCTGTCTCAAAAGCATGGCATTGTGCACAGCAAGGTTTTATGGCAATAAATGGAATTCTTTTTTTTCACTTTATTTTTTATTTTTTGGAAAAAGTTTTTGCTATAAGGCGTGTGTGCTCACCAGAAAGACAGAGACAGAGAGATAGAAAGCGAGAAATCATCCTCCCCTCCCCGGGGGGGGATGGCCACACCGCAATCCCTTCTCCTCCATTCTCCTCTCGGGATCTTGGGCATGCACGTACGTGCACCCGGTGTGAGTTTAAGCCGCCAAGACCAGGACTTGAACCATGGTCAACTACATGGGAGTCCAGCGACATAACCATTATGCCAACTGCTGGTCCCAATAAATGGAATTCTAAGCATAAACTTCAAAGCTTTCCCTGGTATATCTCCAAGTGGCCTCTCTTAGTAGCAGTGCCCTCTTCTTACCTGACTGCTGAAAGTTATGTAGAGCTCATGTGGAGGATGGGAGGTCTGGAAAAAGGTGTTTTTCTTAAGACTTGACCATCAGAGCTCAACCTACCATAGCCCATCCTCCTCAATAACTTCTCTCAGTACTCCCAGCTACAGATCTATGGTTTTAGAAAATGATTGAGGTTCTTTCTGTTTGGGTTATCTAACGTCACGCAGGGCCAGTCCCACTGACACCAGTGGTGCCACCATACTGTGACAGCATAGAGCTTTAAGAGCAAATAGTATCACTCACTTGAAAGTATGGTGATTCCCTTGTATGAACAAAATATAAGCTGTAGCTGCTTAAACACTAGATAAAGACAACAATAAATGGAAGGCCAGTATTTAAGGGCACTTACAGTTCTGTTTGTTTTTTTTGAATTTTCCATCAGGAAAGAGTCACCTACAGGGTGACAGTGTTCAGTATTAAAACTGGTCTAAGTTTAAGCCTTTTTACAAGAAATAATTCCTATTTGGGAAATTTTTAAATTGCTGTAAAATACACATGCCATATAATTTACTCTCTGAACCATTTTTAAGCGTATAATTCAGTGACATTAAATACATTAACACTATTGTGCAGCCATAGCTATTAAACATGCCCAGAAATTTTTCATTATCCCAAGCAGAAAATCTGCAGCTGTTTAACAATAATTTTCCATTCCCCCTTCCACTCAGCCCCTGGAAACCACTATTCTGTCTCTACAGATATTTTTTTTTTAACAGAGATTTTTGCTATAGGGTGTGTTTACTTGCTGAAGAGCCAGAGAGAGATAGAGAGATGGAAAGTGAGAAATTGCCCCCAGGGGGAATTGTCTCTATAAATTTGACTATTCTAGATAACTCATGTAAATGGAATTAGATTTGTCCTTTTGTGTGTGCTGTACCGCACAGGTCATCTATGTCATAACATGTATCATAATTTCAGTCCCTTTGAAAGCAAAATAATACTCCATTGTATGTTGCATTGTCTATGTTTGTATATCACACTTTATTTATTCAGCCACTGATGGAAGCTCAGGGTCTTTCTGCCTTTTGGCTTTGCGAATAATGGTGAAATGTGAAAATTGATGCACAAGTATCTGTTTAAGTTCCTGCTTTAATTTTCTTTGGGGGGCTGAGAGAGGGATATATCTAGAAATAGAATTGCTGGATCATATACTAATTCTAAGTTTAACTTCTTGAAGAACCACCAAACTCTTTCTACAACTGCTACATCCTTTTACATTCCCATCGGCAATGCACAGGGGTTCTAGTTTCTGCATATCTTCATCAACATGTGTTTTCTGCTATATTAAAAAATGCCATTCGAATGAGTGCGAAGTGGTATCTCATTAAATTAGATTTGCTTTGTAAACTATTAAAATGACACCAAAAAGAGTTATTTTATGGCTGGCTTACCTTGTACGTAAAAAGCTGCAGGCTTCCTGCGCCAATCCAAAACTAGAAGGTTAAAAAATGGTTATATCTCTTAAATTTTAAACATACTAACACTGATAGTTTTCCAAATAAGAAGGTAAATCCTGAGTTTCAGAGTGGCAGTTACAAGTGCTACAGAAAAATCTGGGGATCTAAGTAATGGCCGTTAGTTATTAGAGAAGCCCATACCTGTAAAATACCCTTCTTGGGGAAACCGAATTAACACTAAAGCTAGAATCGCCTCAGACTTGACCCTAAACGCTATTCAGACGCAGGACAGCGCCAGCCGCGCTGCGCATGCGCGCACCCAATCGCGCTCCCGTGCGGTGCCTGCGTGCGTGCGTGCGTGCGCGGCCCTGCGCAGCTTGCCGGCGAGGCGGGGCCAGGCAACTCCGGTGGAGGCGCCAGCAATGGCGGCTGCGTCGGGTTCAGTTGGCCTGCAGCGCTGTGTTGTGTCGCCGGCTGGGAGGCACAGCGCCTCTTTGATCTTCCTGCACGGCTCAGGTGGATTGCAGATTTATGTCCTGATTTTCTGGCTTGGGGAACATCTTCCTTTCGGTCACCCAGTGTTGCCTGCACCCAGTGGAGGAGGCGCCGCCCGGGTTGGCTCAGAGAGGATGGCTTTGCTCTCCTGTAGCCAGCCCTGGTCGTGGAGGCACTGGGTGGTCACCCGCCTTCGCCGTCTCCCTTTGTTTCCCTCTTCTGACCTTGCGATCACTGGCCCACCACTCTCACTTCCATCTCAGTGTCCCGCTGTCCTTGGCCAGCCCACTCTCCATCGCCACGCTGTCCCCAGGGCGACCCTTAACCAACCCCCTTTCTCGCCCTAAGTTTAAGCAGAACGAATTAGTAAGGTAAGTCTTTTGGAAGAGACAGTTAAACCATTTAGTGCTTTTCAGGGAAAGCTGTTAGTGATTGGTGATTTCAACAGTGATGAATTATTTGCTACTGCTTGCTTTCGTCCATCTTCCATACTAAGGGAGGCGACTGGGAATCACAGTTAACTTGGATAAGATTGAGCGTGTCCTTTCTGTAAGGCACTGTGCCAGGGTTGGAGTGCCTTCCTTTCCTTTTTCCTGCTTCCCTTTTTTTCCTCTCCTCTCTAAGCCTCCAAGATAAAGCACAAGGTCAGTGAAAGATCAGGGGCAAGTCTTCCACTGCCTGGCCTGAACAACAAACATGTGCTTTTGGTTGCATGGTGTTTCTTACATTCATCTGTGATTTCTTATGTCTGTTTTCCTCACTGGACTATGAGCTCCTCCAGAGTGAGGACCCTTGTTTTAATCTTTGCACCCCCAGTGCTTGGCCCAGGGTAAGTTCTTGGGAAATGTTTTTTAAAGAAATGAGATGCAGCCGGTGTCCTTAGGGGGCCTACCTAAAATTAAAAACAAAACTATTCAGTTATAATCGATGGCGGCTGCGTCGGGTTCAGTGGGCCTGCAGCGCTGTGTTGTGTCGCCGGCTGGGAGGCACAGCGCCTCTTTGATCTTCCTGCACGGCTCAGGTGGATTGCAGATTTATGTCCTGATTTTCTGGCTTGGGGAACATCTTCCTTTCGGTCACCCAGTGTTGCCTGCACCCAGTGGAGGAGGCGCCGCCCGGGTTGGCTCAGAGAGGATGGCTTTGCTCTCCTGTAGCCAGCCCTGGTCGTGGAGGCACTGGGTGGTCACCCGCCTTCGCCGTCTCCCTTTGTTTCCCTCTTCTGACCTTGCGATCACTGGCCCACCACTCTCACTTCCATCTCAGTGTCCCGCTGTCCTTGGCCAGCCCACTCTCCATCGCCACGCTGTCCCCAGGGCGACCCTTAACCAACCCCCTTTCTCGCCCTAAGTTTAAGCAGAACGAATTAGTAAGGTAAGTCTTTTGGAAGAGACAGTTAAACCATTTAGTGCTTTTCAGGGAAAGCTGTTAGTGATTGGTGATTTCAACAGTGATGAATTATTTGCTACTGCTTGCTTTCGTCCATCTTCCATACTAAGGGAGGCGACTGGGAATCACAGTTAACTTGGATAAGATTGAGCGTGTCCTTTCTGTAAGGCACTGTGCCAGGGTTGGAGTGCCTTCCTTTCCTTTTTCCTGCTTCCCTTTTTTTCCTCTCCTCTCTAAGCCTCCAAGATAAAGCACAAGGTCAGTGAAAGATCAGGGGCAAGTCTTCCACTGCCTGGCCTGAACAACATGTGCTTAATGTTGCATGGTGTTTCTTACATTCATCTGTGATTACTTATGTCTGTTTTCCTCACTGGACTATGAGCTCCTCCAGAGTGAGGACCCTTGTTTTAATCTTTGCACCCCCAGTGCTTGGCCCAGGGTAAGTTCTTGGGAAATGTTTTTTAAAGAAATGAGATGCAGCCGGTGTCCTTAGGGGGCCTACCTAAAATTAAAAACAAAACTATTCAGTTATAATCGTTTGAGTCAGCAGTGCATGGCAGATCACAAGATGGTGCATGATTTAATGCCAAGTGAATTGTAGGAAAAAAACTGGTTGAGCATTAGGTATTTAGAAGATGGAGAGCTTGTCTGACTTTTGAGGGAGAAAGTGATTTTTGAGCTGACAGTGTAGGCTTGAAGGGGATAGTGTTTGGATATTGAAGGGGATTGGAAAGGCTTAGGAGGTGTACTTGTGTTCATTTTGAGGTGGGCCAGACAGATTCAGAAGCTTGCTCACCGTTAATTGGCTGTTATCATGAGTGGTGGTGAAATTGGGATTTGAACTAAGATCCTTTGTCTGGTGGGGAAAGGTGAAAAATCCTGTAGTGTGATATATGTTTTAGAAATATGGAAGAAAAGAGCCAATGACATTTACAGAGAAAAGTTGTATAGAGGTCTTCAGAAAGTTCATGGAAAATGCATATAATGAAAAAACTAAGATGGATTTCAAAATTGTTTTGTATCCAGATGAATTTGTATTTTAATTCTATTTTCCATGAACTTTTTAAACTTCTCTTGTGTTTAGAAAGTGAGGTATCCAAAATGGAATTATAAGGTTCAAAACCAACTATGGCCAAACCATAGCTTTATGATTAAGGGAGCTGGATTCCACATGGCTGACCTCAAGGTTCAAGTCTTAACCCTGGGGACTTGAAAAGCACAGTGGGTACATATGCATGTATGCCAAAATCCCAACAGGATGGAGAAATGGAAATGAAGGATTTACAGTGAGACTATGCCACATAGGGCATGCTCACTCTCTCGCCTGGTCTGTCTCTCTGGGGGCCACATGTGCCCTGTGGCAGTTAAAACAAAATCATGTGTCTTATTTCTGGCTTTCACTACATACTAAGTCTCAGATGTCAACCAAGTTAGCTTTTGCCAGAGTCACTAGTAACCTCATTGTAGGTAAGTCTTCCTCTTATTTTTAATCTTCCTCTAATGTGAACTGTCAGCAGCATTCAGCTTTCTTGAAACACTCTCCTGGTTCTCCTACAGCTATTTGCCTCTTCTGGTTTCTTTTGCAGACTTACCCTCCTGTATGTGACTACTAAAGATGGAGTCCCTTAAAATTGGGTCCTAGGTCCTCTTCTCAAGCTACGTTGTATTCCCCAAACTAAATTCCATATAAGGCTTTCGATTCTACTTTTAGCTCTATACCAGTGGCACAAATATATGTTTCCATTTTAGGCTCCTTTGAACTCTAGACATGTTTATCCAATAGCATAAATTAATGAATATATGTCCATTAATCCATTTGTTCAGGAAACGTATCACATAGTACCTGTGTGCACGGGGCACTGTAAGCTCTGAACATATAGCAATGAACAAAACAAACA